ATTTCATAACTGTCTGAAGAATGCATTGACACGGGTGACCCATAGTATGTCAACAGTGGTGTCTATATATTTCATTGAGTCAATAACATTTATACAGGGCTCTACAGTTTTGGGAAATTTATACGGACACTATATTTGTATTGACGTATTATTGAAAAGATTGGGACATTCTCCACCAACGCCAGTAATTATCTTGAACAACAATACAAGTGGATTATAATGGAGTCTACAACAAGTATCCACATTGATGAAAAAAGGGTTGATGGAATTGATTCTTTTACAAGCAATCATGACAGACGAAGAGGAGATACCTTATACTCCAAGCGATCAATGATTCCTACAGAAAAGGGAAAACATACTTTATTTAACTTAAATTGAAGAATCGATATACTATATGTAAGAAACTTAACAGTGAGTCTGATCACACCTTGTCATTAATGAATGATCGAATGACCGATCTGAGTTCAATAAGATCAGTGTACACAAAGTGGATGATGACGTATGAGGAGTTCTTAATATGTCATGATGAATATCTGAAATTGCCTACACCATCTGAGGAGCATGAAGATCGATTACAGAGGTTCAGACCTCAGAATGAATTTTACAAGAATATACAAGACAACGTCAGGGAATGGATAACACAGAGATTGTATGAAGCCAATGTAAAGGCAGGGGACAGCGCTTCGCAAACAAGTAAAGCAACTTCAAGGCTCTCCAAGAGGTCACGTTCGAGCACTGCCTCAACTCATGTTAGTTCCCTTGCTATAGCGAAGGCGAAAGAAGACCAAAGCAAGGCAGAGTTAGCCAGAGCGGAAAAGCTAAAAGAGAATCAGGCATTAGAACAAGAAAACCAACCTCTACAACATACAAGATTTCAGCTCAAAATAAAGGAAGAGCAACTTGATTCAGAAACGGAGATGGCCGTAGGACAGCTTTATAGAGCAACCAATGATAAGTCAGGTAGAGTAGACCTTGTACATGATGATGCATATGGACAAGTAGGTGATGCTAGTGTTTTCAATTTGAAGGGGGTCTTTGTTTAGGGATGCATGATGGCGAGTCAGTGTTGGATTCTTTCAGGGGGTGCCTCCTGCTCATAGTCTTGGTGGTGTTGATGCTGCCTTTGTACATGACATGCATGGTTCACTTGGTGGCAGTGGCGTGGCATGGCAATGATGTTGGGTATCAGCACTCAAGAGCGAATAGCGGATCATCAAATGAGGGCATCCTGGCAGTGGTCAGGGAACTGAAAAAGCAGCAGTCAGCTATCAAAAGGTTCAGTGGGAACTGTTTGGGGTACAAAAAGTTTGTTCGCCAGTTAAATGCCAGAATTGTGCCCGTTACTGACGACGTTAAGAAGCGCATGAATTACTTAGCTGTACACCACTGGTGAGGCGAATAAAATAGTAACTGGATATAGTTACCTTGCTGCCGAAATTGGATACACAGCTTCCTTTAATTTTCTTATGCGAATGTGAATATACAACTCGAAGCATTAGTTCCATGGAGACGATGGAATACCATGATCACATGAAAATCCTCATTCAGAAACTGCCTTACTACCTTCATGGCAAGTGGAGAGCAATTGTACATAAAGCCAATGAGAATCGAAGGCCCATTACTTTTGGAAAGTTGGTAAAGTTTGTTAAAGCTGAAGCCGAGCAGGCCAACGATCCATTGTATGGAAAAAAAGCCATGCACATAGAAACCTCTTCCTTTAAAGGTACAAAGACTCGTACACAGCCATACAGAAATAGAGGGAGTTATGCTACTGATGTTGATAAGGTGGACCAGATTGAGCAAGAACACTACTGCTCAGATTCCCGTGACACAGTCGGACAGGGCCCATCTTGTAATGCAGCAAAGTTCCCTTAAAAGAAGTCTGCATGTTCTGCAAAAGTGAACACCATGGTGTAGATAGATGTGATAGCTTAATGAAGGAATCATGTGAGGTCAAACTGAATTTCCTGAAATCTAAGGGTGTGTCTGTTTTGGTTGTTTAAAGCCTGGGCATATGAGCAAAGAATGCCGCTTCAGAGCAATGTGCACCAAATGTAAAGGACATCACCCTACAATTCTTCGTGAAGAAAGGTATGTGAAGGCAGACCAGCATGCAGAAACTAAGTTATGTGACAACAATTTTGGGCATAAGGCTACAAGTGCCTGTGCAAGGGTAAATGAAGAGTCCAGTGCCCATATGGGGGCCGGTGATCGTACAATGGCCATTATACCTGTGGTTGTGAAGACAAAGAATGGCGGTATCGGTATCCAGACGTATGCATTTCTTGACCCTGGAAGTAATGTTTCATTTTGCACCGAGGGTCTAATGAGGAAATTGGGGGCTAGTGGTAATAAAGCGAAGATTACTCTCAATCTGATGGGTGTACCTTACACCATGAACACATACATGTTCAAAGGGTTGGAGCTGAGTGACTTGAGATGTAACAATTCAATTAAACTTCCAACAGTGTATACAAAGGATAAAATGCCGGTTTCTCTCCATCATATGCCCACCTTCGAGAAGTTTGCTAGGATGGATCCCATGGAATGTGGTTCGGGGAGCAAGTAATGAACAAATGGGTATGGTGCAGAACAGTTTAGTCGTTAACAGAGCAGAAGTAGTTGCCATGCATGAGGTGGAGTGGCTCAAAGTATTAGACAAGCTAGTGAGAAGTTCCATAAACATGGATTTTCCTGAGCGGGTAATAGATGACAAAAGAGAAAACTCTCAAGAAGATAAATTGTTTCTATCCAAGGTAGACACATCTATGAAATATACCGAGGGACACTACACGATTGGGCTGCCATTCCGAAATGATGATTCAAAGCTGCCAAATAACAAGGAGTACGCTAAGCAGAGACTTAAGGGTATTGGGAAAAGGATGAGAAGAGATTCTAAGTTATCTAGTGATTATAAGGCATTCATGGCTACCATGATTGAGAAGAAATATGCTATCCTTGTACCACAAAGATTACTAGATGGAAATGATGGCAGGGTGTGGTACATACCACACCACGGTGTCTACCACCCGAAGAAGCCTAACAAAATTAGAGTGGTCTTTAATTGCTCAGCAAAGTGGCAAGGCGTGTCTCTGAATGAATTGCTGTTACATGGCCCAGATCTAACAAATAATCTACTGGGAATACTCTTACGGTTCAGACAAGAACCCGTGGCACTAATGGTGAACACTCAGCCAGATGTATACCAGATGGCAATCCACTTATTTGGTGCAGTGTCTTCTCCAAGTTGTGCAAATGCTGCACTGCACAAAAATGCTATAGATAACCAAGTTTTGTTCGATCCTGAAATTGCGGAAACAGTTCTGTGGACGACTGTTTAAAGTCATGGTAGCCCAAGACCTAATAAGCCTCTGTGATATGGGTGGTTTTAAGTTAACTAAGTGGATAAGTAATATCCATAAGGTGTTGGAATCGATTCCAGTTGAAAGCAGGGCCAAGAATGTTAAGCAACAAGCAAGGTTTTTCTGCGCATGTCTGGCTGAGAAGCGGACGTGTCTGATGGCAGCTCCGTAAATATTAGAAGACTTCGGTAGTGTGGAGAAGAAGATTGATTTAAATCATAACTAAAGCAGTGCGAAATACTATTATATTCAATACGGTGAACCAATAAATGGGAAAGAAGCGCGGTCGGCAAAATAGGACACCAGTGTCTACAAGCAGTGAGTGCAGTCCAAACGAGAAACGTGGCAAGATGGCGGATACCAGTGTGGACAAAGACAATACAAAGGCAAGTTCGATGACACTAGAGTCGCTTTTCACAAAGCTTTCGGAAAAAATCGATGTGGTCTCATCTGAATTAAAGCAGTATCTTTCGCAATGCCAGAGAATTTGTTAAATCAAGAAAATGGTACACCGCTTGGACAAATCTCGGAACAACCTACGTAAAGAAGACGCGAGACAGCCGTGCTCAAAAATTCTCAATGTTGAACACTGCAGAATAATAGTTTTCTCCAGATTAGCTACTGAAGTTAAATGTTCTGTCTTTATACATATTTGTTGGTTGTGAAAACTATGGCGCAGATTTTTTGTATTTTATTAGTGTACGTGTTTATTTTTGTCCATTTATTAACACCGAATATTTTTCAGAGTATCCATTGTTTATGTTATGTCATTACTTTTGAATTCTTAATTAGGGTCCAAAAAAGGACGTGCTATTGTCAAAATACTTGTAGTTAATATCATTCAGTATTACAATACGGTAATTCAGGTAATTCCCAAACTGAAAATATATTATGGCTAGTTATAAAATATGTAGCATGAATGTACGAGGTCTCATGGATACTAAAAAAAGAAAAGATGTATTTAATTGGTTATGTGATAAGAACTGTGATATTTATTGTTTGCAAGGAAACCATTGCTCAGAAGGAGTAGTAAACAGATGGCAATGTGAGTGGTCGGGGATGTCTTTCTTTACTGCATACTCCAGTAACAGTGTAGGCGTGGCAGTTTTATTCAGGCAAAATTTTGAATATAATTTGAATGAAACAATAACAGATCCACGTGGTCGTTACATTATTATTGATTTGACCATTCAAGAAAAGCGTATATGCCTAGTAAATCTGTATGCACCCAATGGTGACACACCCGATTTTTTGACAATGTGACCTCGTACTTACATGACTTTGCTATACCAACATGTATATTTTGTGGTGATTGGAATGTGGTAAGAGATTACAAAAAAGACTCGATGGGTCATTCAATGAATAACAACCCATTAGCAAAAGAAAAAGTTGATAAAATAGCAGACGAATATTTTCTTTTGGATACTTGGAGAGAACTGCACCCAAATGATAGAGCATTTATATGGAGAAAAAAGAATCCGCCTAAACAAAGTAGACTAGATTATTTTCTTGCCACATCCGACATTGCATCTAATATTACAA